AAAAATTGTGGGCCGGGTGCAGTGGCTCACACCTGTAATCCCAGCACTTTGGGAGGCCGAGGTGGGTGGATCATGAGTTCAAGACCATCCTGGCTAACATGGTGAAACTAAAAATACAAAAATTAGCCGGGTGTGGTGGTGCACGCTACTGTAATCCCAGCTACTCAGGAGGCTGAGGCAGGAGAATTGCTTGAACCCAAAAGGCAGAGGTTGCAGTGAGCCAAGATCGTGCCACTGCACTCCAGCCTATTGACAGAGCAAGACTCCGTCTTGCAAAACAAAAAGAAAACAAAAACAAAAAACAAAAAAATTATGACCTAATGAATACATCAGAAAAAGTCAATATTGTGAGTAATTAATGTATTTGTATCTTGTAGGTAGAAGATTTTAGAGAAAAGTGATGGGGCTTTATTTTTTAAACTTTTTTCTTTTACTTCGCTGAAAATGAAAATACTAACGTTCACTATAGCTTTGTGTGAAAACAGGTTATTTCTGCACTGCTGAAAACACAGGATTATTAAAGTGTTTTTGGTGGCCTGGGTCAGTGAGGAAATGGCTTGTTTAAGGCTTAGAAAACAAACCAAAAGAAGACTCCTATCCAAAACAAAAACACACAAGAAAGTACACATTGACCTTGAAATGTGGCTTGCATTTGGACAGCTCCCTGATTATACTCTAGGGATTTTGGTTTTTTGTTCTGCAGGGCCATAGGAGAGGCAATCGTAGGCATCAGTAATTTATTATACTGGGCCAAAGTAGCAATTGGAAAAACAAAGAACTCTTGCTTAAAATTACTCATTTCCACTAAAAATGACTTTCGTTGCTGGGATTGCTAGGTATCAAGAACAAATAGTTCACTGAAGAGTTTCTCCTCATCTCTGTACTTTGGAGTGACACAGGAGCTGGCAATATATACAAAGCATCCACTAGTTACTTCCATTAAAAAATATGATCACCACACGTTTTATCTCCATGTGAAGGCTCATAAGAGACTCTCAAACCATCTTTGTGAATAAGAAAATGGGGTAATTAGAACTAGTTAGTAGTTCATTTGGATAATTTTTTTTTTTTTTTGAGATAGAATTCGCCCAGGCTGGAGTGCAATGGTGCGATCATGGCTCACTGTAACCTCTGCCTCCCAGGTTCAAGCGATTCTCCTGCCTCAGTCTCCCAAGTAGCTGGGTTTACAGGCATGTGCCACCACAAGTGGCTAACTTTGTATTTTGATTAGAGATGGGGTGTCTCCATGTTGGTAAGGCTGGTCTCGAACTCCCTACCTCAGGTGATCTGCCTGCCTTGGCCACCCAAAGTGCTGGGATTACAGGTATGAGCCACTGCACCCAGTCCCATTTGGATAAATTTCTAATTAGATCTAAGAACTTTAAATTTGGGCCGGGCACTGTGGCTCAGGCCCACACTTTGGGAGCACTTTGGGAGGCCAAGATGGGCAGATCACGAGGTCATGAGGTCGACAGATCGAGCCCATCCTGGTCAACATGGTGAAAC